CTGCTCACTTGGACGAATTGGCTCGACGCGTGACGATGAAGCTCTCGCCGCTTGAAGCCACCGCGCTGACTCTATTTCGCAAGTACGATCTAAGCGAAGCCATCTATGATGAGACCAGTCGCCTCGTTGAATCGGTTCTACATGATGCTCAGCATGACGACTTACCGCAGCATCATGCTGCGGTAAGTCGTCACCCATCAATTGCGGAAGTCAATGCGTGGGAGGCAAGCCAGGCATTCCGACCAGTGATGGACAAGCTGACTAAGTCGATGGAGAAATTGAACACGCATAAGTATTGAAGAGATGTAATCGTTTGAATGATATACAGACAACGACGGTGAAACTCAACCCCCCACAAACACTCGACCCCCCTTATAGTGCAACTGTAATACTTTCAAATAAATTGCTGGACAGCACGCCATGCTGGCGCCGTTTAAACAATCACGCTATTGCTGTTTCTGCGAAGTGATGGACGAACGTCGTCGGCAGAACAGCTACACCGTCAAGCAGAGACGGGAAGCGCTCGAGCGGGTGGCTCTGAAGGGATGTAAGCCTACCGCTCGGGCGCTTAATATTCCATTAGGTACGTTGAAGGGCTGGAGAAAGAAGGCAAAGCTGCTGTTTGCGTTTAAGGGACCTCAAACTAGCAGAACGACAAAAGGACAAGGCGCAAAGACTAAAATCACATTTGAGCACGAATTGGTCACTTCATGAAAGACGTCCGTCGGGATGAAGAGGTAAATAATTTGTTTTGTTATATTATTTATTGCAGATTCTAACGTGTATATATAGTATTTATGTACTGGAGGCATGATCGAGTATATGAAGATGGAGCAGGGGCCTTGGCTGGAGCAGTATTTAGCCGATAAATCATCTCCTGAGCGCGCATTGAGCGCGTTGATGCGTATGTGCCAGCGGTTTGCAGCTCGGTAAGCATCTCGTTTTCCAAAATGTTGGTTTAATCAAACGTTTTAGCAATTTATCCTATTTTATTTGTGTTTTTAATCAATATTTATTGCTTACATATTTTTCTTAATGTTATAGCCATGGTTTTTCTGTTCAGAAACCGCAATTTACTAAAAAGGATGAAGATGCACTACAAGAAATCCATTTGAACTTTGCCATAGAGTTTTGGAAACAGCATTCTCACTTCCAGCAATCCGCCATATACAATGTCGACGAGACAGCAATATATTTTGACACCCCACCCCACAAGATTTGGGCCCTCAAGGGCCGTCGTGGCTCCGCTAAAGTGAAGCACACGCAGAAAAACTCTGGTAGACTCACTGCAGTTCTCACCATTAGAGCGGATGGTAAGTTTTGTTTGATGATTTAATGATTTTATTATGTTTAAACTAACTTATTTATATTTTAGGGAAAAAGCTACCAATACTGTTTATACTACGAGGAATGCCGGGCGGGACTGTGGAGACGGATGAACTTCCGACGTATCCTGCAGGCCACGTGTACACCGTCCAAGAAAATGGCTGGATGGACGCCACAGTGTGGCAAGCGTACGTTTTGAACTTGCTAAAGTACGAGATTGATGCCCCGTCAATCCTCTTGCTGGACAATTTTGACTCGCATATTTCCGAAGCCGGTCAGAGCGTTGTGGCGGAAAAGACCTCTGCAATTGTGGTCCCCGTGCCTGCTAACAGCACCTCTGTGAGTCAGCCCCTTGACGTGGGCGTTATGGGGCCACTCAAGAAAAAGTTGACAGCTGAATGGCTACGAGAGAAGGTGGCAGTAACAAGAACCGCGAAGGAAAAGCGTCTGGCTGCCGTAACACGCACAATTAGAGCGTGGGAAAGCATATCTACGGAATGTGTTATTAAAAGCTTTGAAAAAGCAATCCCAAAACACCCTGTCGTGATGGTGTAGAGCAAAATAATACATGTTTTTGCTTTTTTACGGTGCTTGTTTAAATTGTTTTTTCTTTTAATAAACTGTTGGGTCGGTTCAATTTTGACCAATCGCAGGTGATACCACGAAAGGGGTCGAGTTTTTTTGTCTTGTTTCACCGTCGTTGTCTGTAATCTGGTTTTGCGGAAAGAACATGCGCGATCGTCCTCTTAACGTACACCAGCGGACAAGTGTGTCATTTATGTGTGCTTCGTCCGCTCTGCCTGTGCATAAAACAGCATCGAGCGGACCTCTAGACCTCTGAGAACGAATAGAGGGGAGGTGTGACGTACGTCACACCAGTACAGTACCTTGCTCGACTTTGGGCAAATTTGGTACATATATAGAAGTTATGGAGGAGGAAATTTGCGTACCGGAATTAACGTGTTTTCTGCAACCGTGTAAAAAGTACCTTTCAAGTCAAAACCGTAAGAACGGCGGAAGGCGTAAAATCTCGCACAAGATACTCCTGTCCATTTGAAACCGCCGCTTTGCTCACAATATTGTAAGCAATAGCGCGCTTTAACTGGGACACAGTTTTGATGACAAACTGGTTAATTTTGCTGGTGCTGCAGACTTTTTACGGGGGACTGGTTGCAAAAAATTGATCGGTTGCAAAAATACCGTTAATTCCGGTAGCGCTATTGCCATGTAAAGCGCTGCAATGATCGCTTTGAACTAGTAATTATTTAAAAAATGCTAATAGTTAGCGCAGAATTTTTCTACCCAGTTTTAAATACTACAGTGTAGAAGTGGAGGTTAATTTGTGACAAAAAAAAATGGGGCTAGAGGTAAAAGACTTATGCTGTTCTAGCTCCGACGAAGGCTGCTTCGTCGGCACGTACATATCATTCGCAGCACTAAAACCCCAACTGTCCCGAGCACTATCGTCACTAAGCTGCTCTCTTCTGTTGCCGAAGATCCTGTTTGAATCCTTCACTCCTAGTTCCCAGCAAAAACAGCATCAGTCAACTTGTCTAAAAAACGAGCGTGCTAACTTCTGATACCAAAGAGGCACTTTGTTATGGTCATCTGCATCTATTTTTGCATCAAAAATGGCAATTCGGATCCTACTTGTCCTTCAGGTAACTGGACTCGTCAGCTGGCCATAACGCTCCCCAATGTGCCTTCCGCGACGCACGATACACCTCACGAACTGCTTTACCTCTGGTTACACTACGACGCTCATGCTTTCCCTACAAAATTATTACAAAACCTCGTTAGAAACTCAATTTCAGCAGTACAAACTGAGCTACAGGTAATGCACCATACCTCCGGAGTGCACAGGTCAAGATGCACGTGGCGGGTAGCAAGCAGTGGGCCTAGAAGCAAGCGTGCAATCGGTTTCTTCTTCTTCGCGGCGGCATCTTCCTCACTTCCTTTGCGTGTCTTCTGCATGATCATGTACGAGAACTTGGAGCCCTTCTGCCCATGCCAGCGCTTAGTAGTCACTTCACGAGGGCGATTCACTACAGGCGAGCGCTGCACAAAGTGACACCACGTGTTTCCACCTACTGGACACTGTCAACAGCACAAGCAATACGTTTTAAACACCAACAAGGACACATATCCAGCTGCTTCACCTTCCTACCTCATCATGATGCGGGCACGGGGCCACAATGCGCACACCTTCCTTGCCATCTGCATCCTCAGCAACCAAGTCCAGCACAAACTGACGCGCGGATCGCACGTGATGCGACCCCCACGGACTACCACGATCTACAATCACCAGACACCCGTCCTCGCTCAGCAGCTCCCATAGTGCTGAGGTAGTCGCGACACGCTCGAAGTCGTTCGTGATATCTGAAAACACGTAGCTCACTACTACGAGGTCGTATTTGTTGCCAGCATCGATGTCTCTGGACAAGTCGGTGATATTGCGACGCATACTCAAGCCTGGAAATCCCTCGAGCACGACCTCGGCCGCGTCCACCATAGACTGGCTGGGCTCCACCACGCGATATTTATCCAGTGATTGGTCATAGAAATCTTTGGCCACCCAAGATGCCGTACCGGGTCCTGAAACGAAGTCCAGCACGGACTTAGGCTTGAAGTCGGGTAGTCGTTTCTGCAGCTCCGTGAATACAGCGTGTGTGCAGGCGTAAGTGGCCTCCATCTCGTAGGCCAGGAAGGCCAGCGTTTCGGCCGGGCCGTAGGCAAAGGGCGGGATCTGCTGGCTGCGGTCCATGGTCCAGCCCAGAGGTGTCTTGCTCATGTCAAGTGGCACCTGTCGCGTATTCCGGCGGTCACCTACGTGCTTCTGGCGTAGCATCTCGAGCTGCGAGTGCGTGCGGCTACGTACGACGGATGCAAGACGCTCCAACAGCTCCGTTGGCATCTCCACGCGCCGCGCTAGGCCGTTTCGCGAGAGCTCAGCAATGTCCGCCAAAATGGAAGGAGTTCGCGGGTCTGCAGACGAATTATCGGCCGCTTTGGCGCTAGTTTTGGATCTACGCAAGCGTCGTGCGCGACGGCTAGCGGCTGGTGAAGAGAAACTGGCTGAAAGTATTGGAGCAGCGGCGGCCGGCGCGAGGCGAGCGCTCAGCTTCCGCAGCATCGTCAGTCGCGACAACATGGATGCGAATCGATGGTGGCGTTTGGCCCAGTCAAATAATTGGTATTTTTTGGTACCGGTACCGTAAAAAACTCAACTGGGTTATTTTGTTGTTAAGATACAAGCACGCCTCTGTTAAGAACAGCCCTTTTAGGGCCTTTGCTGAAGTACTTGAGTACTTTAAATAAATTGGTTTTTCAAATTGATTTTTAAACTTCACACATTCTGTTTGCTGTAAGCTCGGGTATAACTACAAATAATGATCTACTGGCATTCTGGTAGGGTTGTCTTAACCCTTCTAGCCCGATATTCTGTATTATACAGAATAAGCAGTTTTGCAGTAATAAATATTTGACAAAGCTGGCTACGAACCGATTCTTCGCATAAAGTGATTAGTAAGGGTGAAAGTCAGCTTAGAATTCGGTGACGGGTAAATAAACGGGGATTCGTCGAATGTAAGAGAAATACGAATATAAACAAACCAAAGGTTTGAAAATGACGCTGACAATTTTGGCCACTACTTTCTTGCTCTCATTTTCGAAAGATGAACGGCCCAGGCGAGATAATGTTCAAGCAGTTTTGGCGCGAGCTTTCTAAGGAAGGTTGGAGGCCACGTCAGCCGGTCGGACTTGCCAAGCACCACCGCTACGTGAGGCCTGGGGTCAAGGGTCGTCTAGATGAAGCGAGACGCGGGGAGGACTTCTTTGAAGGTAAGCGTGAGCTGTATTAACAGTCCGGGTGTTACGCTAATGTCTGCATGATCTAACAGGCGAAGAAGAACTAATGGTGTATGGTTGACGCTCTGGGTGCCTTCAGCTGTCGTTTTATGGTGATGCAAGACATGCCTGTATTCTCAAAGGCAGACCAGCGTGTAACGCTGACGCAGGACTTCAGTCTCCGATGTCTTTTCCTACAGAGTTGGCACCCCATGCTGACGCACCAGGACCAGCTACGACAGTGCAGCCATGTCCGTGTTCCAGTCCGGTGAATACGAATGAGCAGCCATCTACATTACACCAGCGTTCAGTCGAGCCTGAGCCCCCGTCTTTGGGAGAAGGTTGCCTAAGCCTTGTCGTGTCTCCGACTCCTATTCTGGCCTCTACAGAGCAAGAAGCTGTCACTGCCTCTTATGTTCCGGAGAGTACAGAGTAAGAGGAACGTAAATGTCGGAGCGACAGGGAGCTGGAAGGGGCCAAAAGCGTAAGCACGGCTCTCGATGTACCGTCAGGTCCTGCGAATCCTGATATATTTCATAGCGATAACTTCATGAAGGGGCTATGGTCGGAAAAGCTGTTCGGTGATACAGATCTGGACGATGTGAACCTGATGGAAAATCTAACGACACTGATTCCGAGTCTGATACCGACGACGGAGACATCATGGCTGATAATGAGTTAGATACTCTCGTCGTAGCAGACGTACAAGATGTCGACGATGTGGCACTGAATAAAGGTGATCCGGACACCGGTATATTTGACTTGACGTCCGATGAACTGCGGGGTTTTGCGGAGTCAGGCTGGACAGTTTACGATGAAGAACGTAGTGGTAAGTTAAAGTATACATAATATAATCAATTTTGGAGTGCTAATTCTGTATAATACGTTATAATACTTTCTCAGGTAATTTGCAATTAGACGCAGCGACAGACCATCACGATGGATCTTGGGGGCCGACCTGCTCGGCGTTGCATACGCGAACTCCCAACTCGACATGTTCTTCTATTTCTTGCCAAGGAGCTGTGGGTTCGAATTGCCAAAGACACTAACCGGTACCGACAGCAGACTATTAGTGCTGTCGCGGCTTCCCGTCGAGCTAAAATACTCGCACGTCAGGCTGAAGACCCAAGAGTGAGTGTTTCGAGCTTAGAAGAATACGAAGAACGACTGAACAAGCTCAAGCAAATTCAGCCACATGAAATTGTGCACGTGGTAGCCCTACTGATTGCACGAGCCATCCTTTTCGCGATGGTCTTGCCAAACACTGGTCGACTGATGAAAATGGAGATATTCCTCGGGGATCATTTTCGAGATTCATTCGAGGCTATCATGCAGCTCTTGCACTTTAACAATAACGGAGACGAAGAAGCGCGTCGGGATAAGGCTTGGAAGATCAGGCCGCTCTTACATACAGTGGAGGAGACATTTCGGCGAGGCTATCGCCTCGGAAAGGTGATTTCCTTTGACGAAGGCATGATGTCAAACCGCATTAAATTTAATTCGATGCGAGTGTTGATGCCGGACAAGCCCGGCAAATACGGAACCAAGCTATACGTGACGTGTTGCGCCGAGACCGCATACTGCTCGAGGTGAGGATCTTTCTATTTGTCTAGAATTATTGTAGTTGGGTGCTACAGAATAACTAACATGCGCTTGTGGTATTCTGTATTCTACTGATTTAGAGTGGAGATTTACTGTGGAGCAGACAAGAATAAGAAGCAGAAAGAGAAAGAGAAAACGAATCATGACACTTTGGGACTTGGGCCTCTGGCCGTCATGAGCAACATATCCAAAACGCTCGCCGGCCAGCTGGAAAACGACACATCGCCACGAACAGCTTCTACTCATCCGTATCACTGAGTCTGAAGCTACTGGGGTTGTATCACGTCGGTACTGCACGGGTAGACCGGTTAGGCTGGTGTCCGCTTCAGTTCACGCAGAGGACGAGACCGAAGAAATTGCCACGAGGTACTTACCGCATAGCACAAGCGCGTGACCATCCTCAGCTTATTGCACTGAGCTGGCTGGATTCAAAACCGGTGAACATGCTGGCGACAGGGTGCAATACAAACCTGACAAGCGTTAATCGCACGGAAAATGATGGCAGCCGCAGTACAGTACCTTGCCCACAGCTGGTCGTGGACTACAGCCTCGGCATGGGAGGCGTAGACGTCCACGATCAGCTCAGGCCGCAGCGTTACAGTATTTAGAAGTATTGCACTACGGAAATACTACAGACAGATATTTATATGCTTTGTAGACATGGCATTAGTGAATCAATGCATCGTTCAATGTATTACGCTCAAGAATAAAGGTTTTGCTCCGCCAACCCACGACGATTATTTGCGCCGGTTGCACAACCAGTTGCTGGCGCTGCAAACAATCAAGTGTGATACCCACCTGAATGCCGAAGACCTGGTGACTGTACCGATTCAACACCAGAAACACAAGTTGGTGAACACAGCTGACTTCTATTCTTCGAGCAAGCAAACCAAGCGGCGACAGTACCTTTGTAAAAAGTGTTCGGCGTTCTCGGCCACGAAAAAGAAGTCTTTCGAAATCAGCTATTACTGCGAGGACTGCAGCGAAAGCTTTGGCGGTCGGGTGCCGCTTATCCGACGCAAGGATGAAGGGAACAAGAGTACATGCTACGAGGTGGGGCACGAAAATCTGGAACAGTGGTAGGAGTATTCCACCTGAGCTAACGAAAAAGATCCGATTCCGCGAGAGGAGATGTAAGTAAAATTAAACGCATGATGCGACGCACTTGTATGATTTCGTTGGCACGTTATCGTTGCCTCTGCTGGGAAAAATCGCCTAGTTCCTCCTCACTAATCGTAAGTTAAGACTCACTAATCGTAAGTTAAGAACTGGGCGATTTTCCCCCCTTCGTGCTCATTTCGTGTGGGCCACTTCCACAGTAATGAATGGCTCTAGTTTATCGCTCGACTACAAACATGCAGATTTGCCTCTATTTTTACACGAAACCAGCCAATAGAAGATTGATACCCTCGCAGATGTTGGATACATTGGTGATATAATGTCCACTTTCGTCGCTGTTTTGTGTTTGGCTTGCCCAGTCCTTAGACATAGCTAGCGGAAGGGGTTAAAATAGCATAACTCTCGCAGGTTTGAAAATATACTTTAATCAAGATATTTACTTTTTCTGTATACTATAGAATAAAACCTCGGGCTAGAAGGGTTGATAATTGTAAGAATTTGCTTTTAAGCTGAGACTGGTGTTTGAAACCGATCAAGAAAAGCGCGCGAAAATTCACAAAGGCTGGACGCGCCAGCACATGAAGCAATTTCTGGCTCGCTGTCGATTGGATAATTTCAAACAGATGACCCTATAATAAAGAATACTCTTCACAATGCGGTTAGTAGCTTAGATCCAGCTCCTAGCCAGCCTCCGCTCACTCAAAAGAATTTTGCACCCAGACACCCACCACAATACCCGTGAGCGTCCTCAAAGCCGAGAGTCAGTCCTTGAGACGCAAGCTGCGAGCCGCCAATCGCAACATCGAACGCCTTACGGCTAGCATTGATCGTAGAGATCGCGATATTGCCAACCTTATTACGACACATCGCACCGAGAAGATGTTTTTTCCGATTAACCTTGAGGCGCGCATGACCGATCTCATGCGGCTTCACTGAGATGTCGATGGTTAGATAAACGGACAGGAGAGCCGGGTGACGACGCCCGTTTTAACGGCCTCCTGATTACATTGTTCTGTATCGGATCGAATTGTTAAAGCAGGACGAAATAGTCCACGACATCGGCTTCCGTTACTGCCGTTCCAAGTGGGTAGTCACTACCCCCCCCCCCCCCCCAAGAGGCTGCGGATATCCTAACTGAACGTGTGGAAGAGACAAATATGGTCACGCATTTGGCGGAATTGTACACTGAGATTGTGACGGGGTCACACAGCACCATGCGCTAGAGGAAGTTGGCTTCCGAGAGCTTACTAACTCTCAGTGAACGGCAGTTCACAGGTCCCCTTTTATCGAAATGGAGCGAAGTGACCAATTTAAGGTAGATTGTAAACTAAGTATATTGATAGGTAGGCTAAGGTTGAGTTAAATACAAACTATAAGTCACCTATAGAAAAGCAATGTCATCAGCCAATGGTTGGCCTCGGACGACCTTGGTACCTTATACCAAATATCCCGAAGTGTGACGTGTCAAATTTCATGTAGCTAGGGGTACACTTAGGAATACGTACCCCGTTACATCCTCCCCCACTTAGGTTCGGTTTTCCACCAATCAGAATGAAGAAGTGTACGTCACAAACTTTCATTCTCAAAGCCGAAAAACATCGACTTGGCCGCGCGAGCGCTGCGGAGGCTCACTTCACAGTTAGAGCCTTGAACAGCAGTCTCTGCGCTCCTCTTCTTGGTCTCCCCATCGACCGTTGTCATGCCTCGTGGCACTGCGAAGAGCGGTGCGAAGACACGCTCCAGGGCTGCTGACGAAAAGGCGCAAGCCAAGACCACTAAGCCTCACGGCAAAGGCTCGGCACTCCAGGAGGCCACTCAGGTGGGCTCTACGGGAGGGCACTGCCCAGTGCTCAGCGAGCACAGGACGACAGCGTGCAGTCGTTTGCTAGTGATCACGGGGATCACAGTCCCAGGACGTCAGTGCGCTCTGAGAGCCCGGCCGCCAAGGCTAAGGGCACTCCCAAAACTGGCGACGACGAGGAGGAGAAACCTCGCAAACATATCTCGCTTGTCGATGGTCTTGCGCGTATTAAGGCCACTAAAGCCGAAGGCGCCAAGCTCTCTAAGAAGCGTACGGCTTCGAAGTCTCCACTCCGCAAGGAGAAGAGGACTGGGTACTCCCATCGGGGTTTCTTTGATTTCTCGAATGAAGAGGACGAGAAGGAGGAGGAAGAGGGTAGCCCTGGGAGATCACTAATGACCTCGACCAGCAGCAGGAGGACTTCCAAGCTGCCCGGCGTGCGCGTGGGGGTTCGGTGGTGGCACCCGTCAGCCCCGAGGAGAGCTCTGGGGCTGACCTTTTCTTGGAGATTCTCGTCGCTCCTCGTGGCCTTGTTGGCCACCACACCCCTAGGGCCGCTTTGGAACGCACCCTGGTCCAGAAGTAGCATTTGTTTGTCGACAACTTGGAGGCGGCTCGGTGTGTGCTTCTCGCGCCGCACCGTATCCCCTTAAGGACTTCACGACCTGTCGTAAGAAGCCCGAGAACCGGGGTGGTCTCTATCCTGTTTGGGGTTACCCCTGGGTTCTTCCCAAGAACTATCCCAATTGGAGTTCTTGTG